ACTCCCAATGGCCACAGTATGGCCCTTCTAAAGTCTGAAGGACAGTAAACTTGCCCTTTGTTTAGATAGTTTGGAGATGCATGTCTTAGAGTATCTGCATTCTAGATGAAAAGCAGACACATTTGGACAGCTGCATCGTCAGTCTAGGGAGAGGGTAGTGTTACACTAGCAGATTTAGAATGACTTGACTAACAAATTGAAGGTGAACGCCAGCTAACAGTTTATAAACAGCCATAGCAAATAAGTTATTTTTTTCCCCCCTTTTGGGGTAAAGGTTTTGCACAAATAAGCTTACCATTGTTGTAGCAATTGTGCATACAGAGATGGACGCGGTCACGCGTTTTTGCTAAGGATCCTCCATCTTGTATCTCTCTCTCTCCCCCTCCACATCCCCCTCCCTCTCTGTTGAGTGACACGTGGTCCCTGGATGCTGAGTTCAAAAAGGCATCAAGGCCCAGTGGGAGAGTTCATAGCTATAAACCCCAATTAGCCTGGCCCCCATATGTCTACGAAACTCTGCTTGGAAAAGGATTGGAAAACCATAAACCAGTCCCTCGCTGAGCTTCAAAGACATTCCAGATAAGCCATAAAGCAGACATCACATTCAAAATCCACTTTCCCCTATGATTACATATCTTGGAATATGAAAGACTTACATAAAAACCAGGCATGTATTCAGACCGGTCACTTTAATGCAAGTCGTCTGATATATTACACCCCCCTAGCTGACACAAACAGGAGAGCAGAAAATGATATCTCCTTAACCGTCCCAGCAGGTATGTCATATTTCATATCTAGACGTTCCGCAGATGATTCTGCGTATTAATCTTCCCGTGGATAGAATGTTACATGTACCTAGGAAAAGTTATTGACCATAGTATAATTTGGGAGGGATTTGGTCATAGCCTGAGCACCCTGCCTACACCACCCCTCCCCAAATGAGGCGATTGGTTCTCTGCTTTAAGGAGACACCCTGCTGAGTTCCTAGAAAAAGGCTGTTGTGCTTGAAGCTTAGCTGAATTGAGCTAAGTTGAAGATTCTCCCTTTTAACATCGGAACTAACTTTGGGAGATAAGGCACCCTTTTGGCTCAGGAAACTTGATCTGCTTAAACCAGGACTTTTGGCAAGTACTTTATCTCTCTAAATTCTTTTCTGTTCTTTTCTGTTATCTCTTTGCTGTGTTATTGCTCTCTGTATATTTATATATATATATATGGCTACATCTTTTTCTGTAAATGTTTTTATTGCACCCTTTTGACCTTTTAGTAATAAAACTTACTTTCTGAAAGTGTTGAACTGTTTCTAAAGCTCTTCAATGCAAACTAAGAACCCCTGTCTCTGAAGAGCGCTACTGTGTGTTTTAAAACGTCTACATACATTTGTCTGCGGTGTGTATACAAACGATTATTCAAACATCATAGTTTTATTGCTGATATTGCCTCTAAAGAGTTGTTACGCATGTGACAGCATGGTTTTAGATTGGCTAGTCCTTCGGTCACGAGTCTGGTGAGAAGGGCTGGGGTCTGACGCCGCGATCGTCACAATTGTAACTACCCCTGCCAGTATTAAATGGTTTGTCTCATCCCTTTAACTGCTATGTTGGACAGCTTGGTCTTAAAGGAAGTTGAAAAGTGACAGATTTACTGGCTGCATAAGCAGGTGAAAATAAAGGAAGAAAGCCTAAAAAAAAGAAAACAAATGCCACCACAAAATCTAAGAGTTGGTAAGCTGCAATTTAATACATTTTTGTTTTGGGGTTTAATCTGCTTTAAGGTGGATATAATTAAGCATGTGTCCCATTTGGCCTTATATGGCGGTTAGCAATTGGCTTGAAATTCCTCGGGCTGAGTCTGGCAGTTCTCAAGCCCAGTATTGTTACTACATTAATGACACAGTTCAAAAGGTGTTATTTTCAGATTGCCTTTTACTGATGATCACATTGATAGTGATTTTATTAATTTCTTTTTTATTTTGTCTTCTGTAAAATATGTGGTGATAATTCCTACAATTTTATTGACTACCTAGTACCTGGTTTTTCCGAATTCTAAACATTTTCATTGTCGTAGAGTTATGAAGAACAAAGAGTCTGGCCATACCGCCACACTTTTCATTTCTTGGAGCATTTCTAATGGTACAACTTAAGGTACCCAAACAATGAGGATTCTGGATTATTCTATTAAAGCAAACTTGCGTATCGAAAATTGACATAAACATATGCTGTTTGTAATCTGCTCCTAAAAGCCTCCTGATGTTTCCGAGTGGTTTCTGGAAATGTTGCATCCCACAATGCAATGCAAGTGGTCTGGCAACCAGTTTAGATGGGAGTGTGCTTATATGTCCATTTTTTAGCTTTCTGCAAAAAAAAAAAAAAAAAAAACTGACATGCAACTGTTCTGGGTTCTCAAATCACACCCGGAGGCACTTTTAAGATTGTAACTGCCCTTGCAGTCATGTTATGGTGCCTGCTAAGAATTCTTACCAATTCATAGATATGATAGCTGCATTAGTTTCCTATTTTAGTCTTTTTTGTTTTCAGGTGATCTGACCATAGCTGCATTAGTTTCCGATTTTAATCTTTTTTGTTTTCAGGTGATCTGGCCATTGATTGTTGTTTTTCAAAGGAAAAACACTCTAGCAGTTACAGGGATGTGACAGACCATCTAACATTTGCAGGGGTGCTTAAGATTATCAGATTTTATTTAGTTATGTAAAATCTTTATTCTTTTTTTTCACTTTGTATCTTTATTAGATTTTAGGCAATATAGGATGGTTACATTGACTGGTACAATGAATGAACAGTAGTAGCATAAAGTCTTTATTCTAAAAGGGAAAAACTGCTGTAAATGATTTATAAATATTAGCTAGAGTTCAGCTTTAATTTTTTTACTGCATTTAAAATCTTCTACTCTTAAAGAGCAATCAAATGAAGTCACAAATAACTTTTTTTGTCAGCTGAATTATCAATGACCCTTTGTGTGGGAGGTAGAACATGACTTTCCATCCTGTTCGTCATGGTTATCACAGGGGTGTTAAGGCAAGTTCAGCAACACAATACTTATCTCTGGCCTAAGTTTTGGGTGTCTTGTGCCATTTACTTTGTCTTCCAAGATCCAGAAGTTCGGAAGGAGTGTGAAACAATGAAATCATTCCCAATGGCTTTGTATGGCCAAACACGAAACATTTCTGGCCATCTTCTCTGTTTGTAAATGGGCCACTTCTGATTTTCAGCGGATTCATTCCACAACCAGTATATACTTTCACTGGAAGGGAATTCAGGTTTAAATGTAAAAGATTGAACAGATCAAGGCAACATACAACCAAATTATTCTACTGAAGTGTTAAACACGCAAGAGTGTTCATGATGTTTTTGTCTATGATTGAAAGCTGATTAAAAGTGATTGAATGGCCTGAAAACCATTTTGTGCATGGCCAACGTTACCCTCTTTGCTATTTTTATCAGTAGGAAAGAAATATAAATGGAGCTTGAACTTTACAGTGCCGTTTTAGTGCTTCATCCCATTGAGTTTGAGATGGTTGCATAATTGCAATGGGAAGTTTCCGATGTACAACAATTTGATTTGTTCAATTGCTTTTCTTTTCATGAATGGGTATTGTTTTAAATTGAAGGAGTGTGGTTTTCTAGTGACATGGGAAGATTTTCAGATGCGTTTTGAAGCAGATCCAATTTGAGACTTTAAAATAATAAGAAATGCAAGTTATGGTTTTGCAGATAATTTCTGTTGACCTTTTGGCTTAACTGTGATCTTTGCTTTACTGTATTTGCCCTGCTTGTTTTGCTTTTTGAGACATGATCTTGACCTGCTTTTTTATTATTCCCCCTGTAGACAAACTTGCTATGGAAGGTATAGTGGTGCAGCGTGCCGAATGCAGGCCAGCAGCCAGTGAACACTACATGCAGATGAAGAGGTAAGCCATGGCTTCTTACAGGTGTTTGTGATAATTAAAGCAAACCTGTTGGTATAGTAACCATTGAAAAAAAGCCATACATGTAAAAAAAACTTGCTTTTCCTGCTGCCAATGCCATTCGGATCCGGAGATATATTCTGCTGAAATCTACTTGGAAATCAACATTTCTTGAAGTATCAATCTCCCTGGCCCCCACAGCTCTGCTGCCTTGACCTCCTTGTCACTGCAGCATACATGTTTAATGTTTATTTGTAAAATAAAGATTGTGTGTGTGTATGTTTGTGTATACACACACACAGTGCCCAGCATAAATGAGTACACCTCAACAGATTTGTCAGAAAACCTTTACTTTTCTTTCAGAATCAACATTTTATATGGGACACTATACTACAAAAAAATACTCTAACAAATCTGGCTTGCAATCAATGGCCAGCATTTGTGGATTTGCACATAGAAAAATTAATTCAAGACCATGTTGCAAAAATTAACACCCCAATGAAAGTCTAAGGCTGGCTATACATTATACAATTTTCTTGTACAATTTACCTTTAGATTTACCAAATTAAACCTAAAGAACTCTTTCAATTGTATCCAATTTTGCAAGCCCTTGCACTAAATAGTTCAAGGTAAATCTAAATGAAATTGTACAGAAAATTGTATAATGTATGGCCAGCCTTAGGAGCAAAGCTAACTTAGATTTTAGAAAACAAAATCCTAATTAGCAAGAATTCAACTACAGGTGAGTCTAGTGATTCATTAAACAGAAGTCCAGCAGACCGTTGATTTATAAAAGGGCATTCCTTAAAGAAAACCCCTTCCCATTTCATGCTTTCAGCAATGGCACCATATAGAAGAGAAATGTCACAAGGCCTGAGAGAGAAAATATTTTTGGCTACAAGGTGAAGGCTAGAAGAAGGTCAGCAAAGCTTTACTTATCCGTCAGAATACTGTAGCAATAGTGAAACAAAGATGGAATTGCAACCATCTCACAGAGACGTCCAGGCCATCCACAGAGGTTAACACCTTGACAGGAGCGTCTACTGACGAGAATAGTTGAAGAAAATCTCCATTTAAGTCTACTACAGTTAGCTAAAGAAGTAAAAAGCCAAACTGGGGTGATTGTGTCCCATGACACAATACAGCGTACACTGCAGAGGAATGGCATACATGAGTGTCTTCCACGAAGGAAGCCTCTCCTAAAGCCCATGCACAAAAAAGCCCGCCTAGAATCTTCCAGGGCCCATGGTGAAAGAGAAGAAGACTACTGGGACTTTGTACTGGAGTGATGAGACCAAGAATGAGATGAGAAAGATGAGACCAAATGTTTTTGGAACTGATGGCTTCAAAACTGTATGGCGTAGCAAAGGGGAGGAGTACAAAGAAAAATGCATGGTTCCTGCAGTGAAACATGGTGGTGGCAGTGTCCTTCTGTGGGGCTGCATGAGTGCTGCTGGTGTTGGGGAGCTGCATTTCATTGATGATATCATGAATTCACAGATGTACTGATGTACTGTTGAAAGAGGAGATGGTACTATCTTTCTGTGCCCCTGGTCGTTGTCGTTGTGCACTTTTCCAACACGACAATGATCCAAAACACACTTCCAAGGCCACTGTTGCATTTCTGAAAAAGAACAGGGTGAAAGTGATTCAGTGGCCAAGTATCTCTTCTGATTTGAACCCAATCGAACACCTATGGGGAATTCTGAAGAGACAAGCTGACCATCACTCTCCATCCAGACTCTAAAAGATGTCGTTCTTGAAGAATGGAAAAAGATAGATGTTGCAATATGTTGCCAACTTGTGCATTCCATGCCTAGACTTGGTACTGTCCTTACAAATCATGGCGGTCATACAAAATACTAGATGTAGTAGTTTTTGTTGTGGGATGCATTCATTTTTGCGTAAACTAATTTGAGTAAAACTGAAGATTTTGTAATCTAAGTGATAATATTAACCTTACTTTCATGTAATGAGCTAAACAAATGTTCTATAAAACTCTTGTCAGAATGTTGGAAATTGGTCTTGTGTTCATTGAGATATTGATAAAAATCTTACTTTTCAAAAGGGGCATACTTATTTATGCTGAGGTAGGTGTGTGTGTTTCAAATTTGTGCATTGCTAGAGCAAAATACCGTTGATTTCCACAATGCACAGAAGACATGCATCCCTTTTGCAGGCACAGTGGTGCTATTAATTCTTACTGGCACCCCAATGCACTTTGCTAATGCATGTGCCCAAATGCATGGTACCAAAGTAGTGCACTGCGGTGTGATTAAAAAAAAAACAAAAACAAAACATTATTTCAGATATATGTTTAATAAAATGATTACATGCATAGTTAAAGCAACTCTGTAAGGGGGTGGGAAATATTTTAACAGCAGTACCCTGTGAAAGGAAAACGTTCATACCTTCCTCTCCAGCACATAGTGTGTGCAATCTTCACTCTATTGAAGGGTTCCAGGTGCCACTACTATCTGATCTGTTAGATAGCATGACCTCACTGGTCACCATGTTCCTCTCGCCAACCCTTATGTCACTACTGTGTCTTGTAAAGACCTAAAAGTCAGCAGGAGGAACTGCAGTGGCCTATGGGGGACATTCTATGCTACACACCCCCATAAGTATCAGGCAGTAGCAGCCCTTGCTCTTCAAGAGAATGAAGATTTTACTCATCACCCACTGGAGAGGTAAGCATAAATCGTCTTTTTTTGCGAGGTATTGTTGGAACATTTTCCACTCTGACAGAGTGGCCTTGAATGCACATAGCACCAAGTACCTTATTTTTTCATGATCTCTACCTTTATTTCCTTCTACAATAGCACTTAGGCAGTGATTGCGGACACTTTGCTCTTCTGCATTTTCTGTGTGCTAACAGTGAATCAGTTGACAGGAAGCAAGAGCAGAGCAATAACAACCTTAGTGCTCCTGCAGCTTTATAACCAAGCTGTGTAGCTAGTGCAATGGAAGTTGCGATTTTACTACATTATCTATCTGGGTTGCAAGTAAAACCATATTAATGTATGTATGTATTGCCACAATATCATTATTTGTTTGACTGAAGTTTAGAGTAAATGTGGAGGAGCTCATAAAATTAATGTATGAGCATTGCCATATACCCCACTCAGCAAGCTGTTGCAGAGCATATCTGAAGCTGAAAGAAAAGCACAATCCTCATGGAGGCTTTCCATGTTTTGCTTTGTTAAAGCTATGCTGTCAGGCATAGTATCTGGAAGGGGTGAGCATAGACAAAATACTTTTAGATTCTGGTGTTTTGGCATGCACTGTTCAGCCCTGCTGTCAGCAGTTGTAAAATTCTGTGAGAGGCCAAAAGCTGGTGTGGTTGGGAGGTGCACCAAGTGGTATTAACATTTAGGGCAGTATGCACCGAGGGAGAAATGCCCAGAATACAGGCCTGTGCCTTGCACCGAATCAAAATTTTGGTATCTTATTCACTGGGGCTAAATGCATAGTGTGCATGAGGCCTTTAGGGTATCCAGTATTACAGTAGAAATGATCTTCTCTTAAAGTGGTCGTAAACTTTTTTAAAAATTGCTGACAGACAGGATATTTATGACAGAAGAGACCCTATTGGTCTCTTCCATCATAAATGCTTCCTGCTGCCTGTAAGCCTTCATCTACCCTGAGACATGAATGCACAGCTCAGTGAACATTTATGGGCCCGATCTGTGCCGCTGTGTTGTGACTGCCATGCGCATATGCTAGATTCACATCATAGCTACATTGCTGTTCAAGCGGCCAAAGGCACCGATCCCTGAAGGGACGAAGATGCAAGTGTCCGGGACCCGCCAGATCGATCACTTTTTTAAGGCACTGTATATGTAAATAAATATTTATTTGATCAGCCATAACTGTATGATAACCTACCTAATTTGGAGTAGGTCCCCCTTTTGCTGACAAAACAGCCCTAACTCCTCGAGGCATGGACGCCAGTAGACCTCTGAAGGTATGCTGTGGTATTTGGCACCAAGCCATCAGTAGCATATTCTTAAAGTCCTATAACTTATTTTTTCAGCACACCTCAAAGATGCTCAGTATATTGAGATCTGGAGAATTTGGACTCCAAGTCAACACCTCAAACTCCTTGTTGTTTTCTTAAACCATTCTTGAACCATTTTTGCAGTGTGGTAGGGCGTAATAACTACTGCCATCAGGTAATATCGTTTCCATGAAAGGGTGCATTTGGTCAGCAATAATGTTTAGGTAGGCTGTACAAATCAAATTAACACCCACATGTATGACAGGACCTAGGGTTTCCCAGCAGAACAATACCCAAAGCATTACACTGCCTTCATTGGCTTGCCTTCTTCCCATACTGCATCTTGTGTCATCTCTTTCCCAGGTAAGTGAGACACATACACCCGGTCCATCCACATGATGTCAAAGAAAACATGATTCATCAGACCAGGCTACCTCCTTCCATTGCTCTGTGTTCCATTTCTAATGCTCATTGTAGGCACTTTTTGCCTACAAAACTATTTTTCCTAGCATTCTGTTTTCTAGTATACCCCACAGAAAACAGAAAAAAGGAGGGGGAGTGAAAAAACATAAGGTTGCTTGTTTTGTTTTGTTTGTTTTTAAGTGATATAACCTCTAAATAATTTTCCTTAATAAACTCTTTAGCTAAATGTGTGTTTCTTTCCCCTTTTATAATGCGTAATCTCAAATTCTAGCACACAGCCTGCTTGTGGTCCTCTCCAAATGCTGAATTTGGCCTTGAGCATGCTAACATGTATGCACAAAGTGTTGCCCTTTAATATCATTTTTGTCATAAATCTTTTCCCTGTACTACATAACTACACCTCTTTTCTATTACCCACATGTTTACAATATGGATACCTCCTTTTTTTTTTATAACCAGCTAAATTCAGTTTGAGATCTCCTTGTCTTTTCAGTGGCTGAATCAGACACTGTGAAATGTGCTGGTTCCATCACTCTTCTGATAGACTTTTGTCATTGAAGAGGTTCTTGCATCTTGTCTATTAAAATGTACAATATAAGATCTTGGTTCTAGAAAAGTTAATCATAATTTATTTACTTTGCATTAAATAGTTATAATAAATGTATTCATAAAAAGTGTAAACATCTCTGGCATGCTCTGGGATGTGGATTTCTCTTGGACCATAAGGCCAGGTTCTCATTTGTCTTGGTGCATTGAATGCATTAGTGTAAAAAAAAAAAACCGTTAGGTTTTTAGAACCACTATAAGGCAACTGGTACATTTTGAATTGGCTGCTGATGCACTTTACTCTTATTTGGGAACACAATTCACAGACGTGTGTTGTAGTTTGTTGTGGTGCGCTGCAGTACAAATGCGTGACTTTAGTGCATGGGTTCTATTCATAATATCATAATAAATGCGTATTACCATGTTTTACCATGAACCCTGCCTAAAGCTTCTATTATGTGTTTGCAAGCTCTATGTTTTAAAGCTTTTCGTTAAATGTCTTTGTGTATTAGCTTAGCACCCCGCCACTGACCCTTAACGTATGATTGGAGAGAAGTAATCTTTTGATCTTAAAACAGATATTGTTGAAGGTCTAACGTTTGGCAGTAGTTTTTTTTCCAAATTTTTAGGGTCCAGTTTCTAACTGAGGATATGCTCCTCTATTTTTTCTCTTTTATTCTGGGACAGAAGAGTACTTTGTTGATCATTCTGCATTTATTTTTCATCTTTTTTTTTTTTTTTTTTTTTTTTTTAAGTGGAACTAAAGGCAATACGTATTTTTCATTTTGGATAGGGAAGGTTATTATCCCTGTCAGTTTTTTTTTTTTCCCTGCCATCTGTGCCTCAATGGGAAGATATCACTTCCTGTCCTATAGCCAAATCAGGCAGTGAGAGGGAATCCCTCCAAAGTGAGGGAATCCCTTCACCAGAGTCACCAAAACTAGTTATAATCCAAAGAAAACTAAAGAACAGGTACCCTGCTTCCCACAAATCAACAAAATATAAGCATCTGTTTTTTGTGCATGTATATCTATTGTAACCATGTATAAGTTTTGTGTGTATTCACTGTCCATTTTTGTTAGGATATTAAATATAAAACATATCATTTGTTCCTTTTGAATAAAGTACGCTTTAATTCAAAGAGGCAAAGTGAGCCTGTTATTGTATATGTCTGCACTAAGGCCCCATTCACACTTGTGAATGGGATGTGGGTGATTACATGTGCTATCCCGAGCGGTGGTTCCTGGCAATTTAGTTAGCGGAGGGAGTCTCATTAAAAATAATTAGGAGGGTGACAGCTCCTGCAGCTGATTGCTGCCACTCGCATGTAATTGTTCAAGTAGCAGTTAAGTGCGGATAACCAGCCGTGGACGCAGAGAGTCTGAATTCAGGGCCGATTGTTCGAAGGCAATCGCTGGTTGAGCGATTACATTCGAGCAGCCGTGATTAGCTGCAGGAGCTGTCAGCTTCCCATTGCTTTTAATGGGGATTCCTCTGGTAGCTAATTGCCAGAAACACACACACTGGGGTTTCTGCATGTAAACCACATTTGCAAATGTGAATGGGACCTAAAACAGTGGGTAAGGTGACTAGCAATGTTTTAA